TCCATCTTATAAACTAGAATCCATTATATTCAAACAGCTTTTTCCTACCAGTAAATTTATTATGTAAAATTGTGCAATAATTTCTATATTACTCATGCTTTGTAATTAGTTTGTAGTACAGACATAGGCAAATAACAGTCCTTACCAATTTATTTTCAGCCCCAAATTTAAATTCCCCAACCCCCCCCCCCCTTGAAAAGGTTAGGGTTAGGCAAAATGGATTTCACAAGCTCCTTAGAAAAAAAACAATGCTCACCTCACAAGGCCATCTATAAAGTCAACAATTTCAAAACGGAGTATTTCAAATGTTGTTAGTTTCTTTACTCTCCTTGACTCTTTCATCTCCAACAAAGTCTACAACATAAAGCAGTACTGATCATCTCCATAGGTATATTTCTATGTTATGTACTAAGCAGTTTGTGTGTGTGTGTGCGCGCAGCCAAATGCCTTAATGTGTCCTTTGAATTGCTTCTTAAATTGTTTAAGGAATGTCTATTCTTTACATTAGAACCAGTTGTTCTTTTGCAACTATTGATCATACAGAAATGCAAAGATACTTTTACCAAGTTAGAATTAGGTATTGATTAAGGTAAGGGACACTTAGGTTCAAGTCCATCTCTAGCCATGGAAGCTTGCTGTGTTATTTTGGGTCAGTTAATGTTTCTCAAATCAAAACTACTACAAAGAGTGGCTGCTGTGGAAAAAGGAAGTGCCATATAAGTTACCTTGAGCTCCTGCAGGAAAGAGGGGGGGTGGGACGGGACACACATAAATCTAACAAAAGCAAAACAAAGTATAGAAATACTAGATGGTTCTTAGATATTAAACTGTATCTGTGAGTTACACAATTCTTTTACAACGAGCAAATACAACACAGTGATCTAAGCAACCATTTTAATTTTGCTTGGTTTGATTTGTTTTACTGAACAACACCACAGTTGGCCAGTTAGGCAAAGACCGTCTTTCCATTTCTCCAGTTACTTGATTATAGAAGAATTGGAGATGTTATAACTATTATTCTTACTCCTATATTTTTGTAACAGACGTACATGCACATGAGATATAATCAGAGAATCCGATAAAAACGATAATTAAAATTGAGACACACGGGCATACAGAACACATTTCATCAATGTCCTCTTTCCTTTCGTAAATAAGGTAAGGAATAAGGAGTAGGGCAGAAAGAGATGGGGAACCAGCAAGACAGAAGCAATTTTACAAAATAAAACTGAAACTGTGACCTCAAAACTAGTTAACATGCATATTTCTACATATGTAATATATATGGGCATTAAGATAATTCAGAAATGTTGAACAGAGATGGTAAAGAACAACTAATAAGTACCGTCTGGAGGAGCGTCTTCTCTTCCCACGTTGGGATATATTAAAATTCTAAACCTGCATTTGGTTCAAGCTGAAATGTCTTCCTTTGATTAGTTTTGATTTCAGAGGGCATATTATATATACCAGTCAACTTAATCAGTAACTCTAGAGTTACAAAGTCAACAGTTAAATATGCTGACCTTTTGAAGATGATACAGATCTGTTTTCTTCTTAAGCTCGTCCAGTGAGGATATGGATTTTTCTTGATCACCACTGGCTTCTGTGATTTGTATAAGAAAAACAGCAAGTATAATTATCTTCCATAAAGGATCCAACCATGAAAGAAAATGCTCTATGCACTAGCTGAAAAAGAGGTGGGATTTGGTTGGATGGACTTCTAGATACATCTTCAGCAAACAACACCCCCCCCTCCCCAATAGGATTTCAGAGTACTGGGAGATCTTTCATTGAAGGTGACATTGGAGATGGCAATCAAAATCAAAAAACGCCATGGGACCTAGAATTTAGTAGGTAATTTTATGCACATAAATGCAAATCAAGATTGAATTCAGCATGTTTTTTGGGGGGACGGACTGTTATCTTCCACCTCTCCTCTCCTCTGGCTTCCTACAATCAAACAAAATAAGATTAAGGATTTACTCAAAGAAAAATGAGAGATAAAATGAAGCAGCATTGTGAAATCCCTCTGCAACACTTAATCCCATAGTAAGCCTTGCTGGACAGATTCTCAGAAATTACAAAATTCAGTTCAAATGCCTTCCAGGCAGCTTTAGTTATTGTTTTTAACATATAAAGAGACTTCTTCCTTCCAGCCATATGTGTGTGCCATACATTCATATAATCTACACGGTTTAAGATAGTAGAGTCTAACTGAACTAAATAAAACACAAATACAATGTTCAAAAACAGCCCTCTGCATGGCTGGAGAGGGGGGTTGCGCGAGTGGCTGTTCCGCTCTCGCTCACCCACCTCCCAATGCACGGCCCAGCTATTATTACGGAGCCAGGGCACCTCCGCCACTGCTACCATCCCAGCCTGGCTTTTTCCGCGGCTTCCAACCCGTCTTTTGGCAGTGACTGCTCTGGGTGCACGCTCTATGGTTGTATGCTCTACAGGCAGCTGGCCCACAACCATAGAGTGTGCCCCAAGAGCGGCGGCAAATAGGCGCTCATGCGGCTTGGTGATACCCCTAGATCAGTGAATGGTACTGCGCCTGGCTGCAAAGGGGGTTTACCAGGTGGCTGCTTATGAGCATCGTCGCTTCATGGCTGTTGTGTTGCGCTGCTGCGACAGTGCAACACAGCTATTTGCCCATGAGGCTGTGCCTGGCTCTTTGGGAGCCTGCTCGCAAGACAGCAGCCACCCGGCAACCCCAAAACAATAAACCCTCCCTCCATAATAAAGCCCAAGCCATATTTTGTAGGTAAAAAGAAAATAAGACCCTGTCGTATTTTCAGGGAAACACGGTAACTGAACCTGAGACTATTTTTCAAATCATAATCCTATTTTTTAAAAAACAAAAACACCATGTAGTTATTGACTGCCTAATTCTTGTAATCTTTCCCAAATTTTTATTCCTTACAATTCAAAGAACCCATTCTATTTACTTAGTTAATTTGTCAAACTTGTATGAGATCACAGGTATAAGTATAAACATGGACATGAACACAGAAAATAGGTACAAATAAATGGGGACAATAGGACAGAGATGGTAGGCAAACTGGTGCGCTTATGCACGCCTCCTTACAGAACTCTTAGTAAAGGTGTGAGGTCAAGCTAGACAGTTTAAGGTTACAGTTATGGGGCTTTGAGGATGTAACAACTGTCGGGTAGTGCATTCCAGGCACTGACCATTCTCCTAGTAGGTGGAGACATCATCCAGGCATGGGTATGACTGTCAGGATCCAATCGGACTGGGTCTACAAGCTTTAAAGGCATGCCCACGAGACTCCTCCTCCCAGCCTAGACTCAGTCGATCCTTGGATTAGCTGTGTCTGTGTATCTCTCCTTGCTAAATAATTCAATTTTAAACTAAATTCTTGCTAAAAATTTCCAAATTTCTTCTAATTGGCTCCCTTTCCAAGTTTAACTCAATTGGCTGTAGACTTTTGCTTTGGAAGCTTCGTAGCCTTCCAAGAGGTTCTTGCCTCGCTCTCTCTCGGGCCAAACCGTCGTGGATATTGTTACCGTCTAGCCTATGAGGTTTTACCTCAGTCTCTTGTCAAGTTGCTGATTGCTGCAGCCGCACCGCCCGAAGAGCCAATCGCAGCCGCACCACCAGAAGAGGCTGTGATCGTCGAGATCTTCTCGACTGAAGTCTTCGAATCACTGCAGCTACCAAAAAGCCGCTTGAGCGCAGGGTGTTTCACACGCCACCGGTCTTCCTTGCCACCTCAGCAGCATTCCTCCTTTCAACTGCAGACGGTGCTTCTGTTGGGGCGATCATTCTCCCTGCACCAGGGCCATTGTCGGGCAGTAAATTCCATCGAGCCTCTAGCTGCCTTGTTGGTTCGCTCCCTCTGCCTCTCCTCAGACCTGGTCTACTCCAGCAGCCATTTTCTTTGGGCGGGAAAATTGTGGCGGCTATTTTGTATGCTACCAATCGTGAGTAATATCAGCCAATGAGGCCTCAACCCCTCAGGGGGATATCCCATCTCCCCCTGCCATCGTTTTTCCTTCTCTGCCCTCTGAACCACAGAGTAAAAAGAGAACCTCTCCTTCTCAGCCACCATCAGCCAAGCCAGCTTAGGCCTCTAAGTCTATTCCATCTCAAGAGGCCTCAAACATTACTTCCCCTGGTTCAGACAGCGACAATGCCTCAGATTCTATCCCACAAAAGGCTACTTCTAAGGCCAAGCATTGCACTACTCCTATTTCTGCCCCAGTGGTTTCTCCTCAAGTAGTGGTCAATCCTCTTGAGGATCTCTCTGCTGACACTGATGGGGATATTTCTACTCCTGCTTCTCCCTTCAATCCGGAGGATGGGATTGAGTTTCAAGAGGAGTATGATTCCGAAGGGGATGGCAGTGTCACTACGGACATAGATGTAGGTTCCTCCACCCCCAGAGTTATTTCTGTCAATCCTAATGATATGATAGACATCATCGCAGCAGCTATAGAACGGGGGATTGCAACGGGCCTTCAACACTGGGGCCTGGTTGTTAACACCCCTCAGTGTTCCACTTCTAATAAGTCAACAACGGCCATCCTCCCATTCTCCCCTGGAAGTTCTTCTCAGCCATCTGCTGCAGAACAGGTAACCTGTTCCCTTCCATCAAACTACCTGTGGTTTCGCTTTCTTCACCTAATGCAGTCTCTAATGCTCCAGAGGACGCTCTTCGTCCTGAGGACAAATGTTTTGAACAATCATTCGTCAAAGGCCATCAGTCATCAACATGGGCTGTTCGGGCCGCTTCTTCTCCTTCTTTAACAGGGTGGCTCTCCGTTGGCTGAAGCAACTGCAGGACAGAATTCCTCCTGCTGATTCCTGCTCTCATCAGGACATCAACAAGCTCAAAGCAGCAATGGAATACGCTGTGGATGCCTCTCTGGATGCAGCTTGCTTCTCCTCCAAGTCGATGGCGTCATCAGTCACCACAAGGCATCGTCTATGGCTGAAACAATGGCAGGCAGAGGCCAGAGCAAAGTGGCATTTGGTTTCTTCTCCCTTTTCTTCTGGTCTTCTCTTTGGTCCGTCTTTGGAACCTCTCTTAGTAGAGTTCAAGGAGAAACGAAAGGTGCATCCTTCTGTCAGCCGCAAAACAGATTCTAAACCCTCTTCTTTTTTCCGTAGGTCGTCCTTTCAAGGGGTGCACGAGGGATTTGCCTACCCCCATCCTCAACGACAGGTCCCCCACAAAAGGGCCCCTCTTCTCAGGACAGATCCAACAGAAACTCCCAGTGGTTCTCCTACAGGAAGCCCTTCAAGGGCGGCTCAAACCGTTTCTTCCGAAAGCAGAAGTAATTCCATCGGGGACCTCCCAATTGGGGGCAGTCTTTTGGCCTTCGCTGGGGTCCTGGGCAGAGACCCACCTATTGACTATCCAGGCCGAGCACATCTCGGGAGTCCAGAACACTCAGACAGACGACTTCAGCTGCATGCACATCAATCCGGCAGAGTGGAGCCTGCATCGGCGAATCTTTCAACAACTGACAGTCAGGTACAGTCTTCCGGTTCTCGACCTCTTTGCTTCCCAGAGTAACAATCAACCACCAAAGTATTTTGCACGCTATGCGACACCAGGAGTGGAGGGCGTCAATGCTCTGAGGTGCGAGTGGCCTCCAGGCCTTCTGTATGCTTTCCCCCCGACTCCTCTCATACAGCGGGTACTACAGAAAATGCTGATGGAGGAGGCAGAACTGATCCTGATCGCTCCACACTGGCCCTGCAGACCTTAGTTTGCCTACCTGCTGAAGTTTTTGGTAGCTCCTCCAGTTCCTCAGTTTCCCTCTCTGCTCCTTCAGGGGTCGTTCCAACATCCCGACCTTCCTTGGTTACAACTAACCGCCTGGAGATTGAGCGGGAGGCCCTAAGGACTGCCAATCTCTCCACTGACGTTATTCACACAATTCAAGCCTCCAGGCGCTTTTCTACTAACCACATTTACGATGCCACTTGGACGCAGTTCTCTGTCTGGCGCCATAGGAAAGACATTGCTCCTTTACAGGATTCTATCCCTAATATTCTCCAGTTCCTGCAACGAGGGCTAGATCTAGGACTCTCGCCAAACACTCTCCATCGTCAGGTTGAGACCCTGTCCTCCGTCCTATCATTAGGTTCCACTCAGCCCCTTTCACATGAACTGCTTATCCGTTGCTTTTTGAGAGGTGCCACAAACATCAAACCACCGACAATCCACAGGTTCCCGACTTGGGATGTCTCCAAAGTCCTGGACGCTTTGATTCAGACTCCTTTTGAGCCTTTACATTCTGCGTCCTTATATGACTTAACCTTAAAAGTGGTTTTTCTTGTAGCCATAACCTCGGCAAGGCATATTTCCGAGTTGGCGGCATTGTCAATCAGACAAGATTTATGCATCTTTCATCCAGATAAGGTTGTTCTCTGCCTTGATCCAGCTTTTGTACCTAAGGTAAATTCTGTATTCCACAGAGCCCAGGAACTGGTGCTTCCAGACTTTTGCCCTCAACCGTCTCAACGACTGGAGCGTAAGTGGCATTACCTTGTTGTGAGATGTGCTCTGCGCATTTATATTAAACGAACTGCTGTTTTCAGATGCTCTGAGGCTCTGTTTGTGAAATTCCAGCCGGGAGGCAAGAAAGGCTCCAAGGCTTCTCCTTCTGACATTGGTCGTTGGGTAAGAGCTGCTATTTCTAGAGCCTACTCCGCTCTCTCCCTGCCTGTTCTGCCCAATATCATGGCGCACTCCAACCTTAGTGCAGCCACCTCTGCTGCCTGGTCATCTCAAGCTTCATTAGAGGAAATCTGCTGGGTGCCATGTGGACTACTATCTCTCCGTTCATCCACCACTACAGCCTCGACAGATATGCCTCAGCTGACGCTTCATTCGGCGGCACGTGTTACAGCGAGTGGTTTCTACTTAGGCTTCTTAAATTCTATTCAGGTCCCTCCCGATGGGACAGATTGGGCTTTGGTATATCTCATGCCTGGATGATGTCTCCCCATACTAGGAGAATTGGTGTTGGTTTCTTACCTGATACGCCCTTTCTTGGGACGGTGGAGACATCATCCAGCCCCACCCTTTATGTATGCCTTACTCCCTGAATTTTCTGTTCTTGCCTTGAGGAGAGATAATATCTATCATCTAAGACTGTTTACACAACGGTCTAAAAGTCATGCCTTCGTCTAAGCTGGGAGGAGGAGCCTCGTGGGCATGCCTTTAAAGCTTGTAGACCCAGTCCGATTGGATCATGACAAAGTCATACCCATGCCTGGATGATGTCTTCACCGTCCTGAGAAAGGGCGCATCAGGTAAGAAACCAACACCCATTCAGTTGCTGAAGTCATATGTTCTGCAATCAAGTTTGGAGTGATTTACCTTGAGTTTGTATCTATTGTTTGCCTGTGTATTATTGCAGTTGAAGCTGAAGTAGTATAACAGGCAGCCAATGAGGAATCTACAAGCTTATCTCTAGCTTCTGAACTGGTCACATAAAAAATTGGGGTAAAGTTTTCAAAGGAAGGAGGAAAAGGCAAGTAAAGTTTATCTCCATTTTATTTGATCTCCAATACCCTGGAGGCAAGGGAAACTAGCAAGGGAAACCTGAATTTGGAAATCCCCAGAGCTGTTTTATTGTGTAAGATGTAATTAACACCCCATGCAATTCCATTAAATACACCAAGAATATAATGGTAGTCACAGAATTACACAGAATAAGATCCATGTAGGCCTCTGAATCTGTTTTCTCCTTCCTCCCACTACGCACTTGAACCCAAATAAGAGTATCACCCAACAAACATTTACCCAGTCTTTTTCTGAAGATGCTGAGTAAAGGAGAGACCACCGCTTCCTTGGAACTGCTTCCACTGATAAACTGCTGTTATCATTATGAAATATTTTGTTACCTTCAACCACAACCTGCCTTTTAATTTCAATCGATCATTGATTAATTGTCTTTCTTCAACTTCTAATTTGGCATTTAAAACAGTTCAGTTTTGCACACTTTTAAGTTTTTATGCTGAGCTCACCAATAACAGCAAAAACAATGCAACGGTTTAGCTAAAAGTCATTTTGTTCCTCAAGAAATGTCATTTTAAAATGCAATCCATTATATTTCAATCTATACATTATTATTTCAATTCTCAAACCAATGGGCTAAATTCAACATTAACAAGTGGACTTCTTTTTACTACTTGGAAGCCTAAGATATCTCAAGGGACCAGCCAATTTATTCCTTATTTGTTCTCATAATGCCAGGCATTTTTTATAATGAGAATATTTTTTACATCTCTTCAGCGGGTATGGATATAGAAAATAACAATGGAATTAGAATATCTAACAAAACTTCAGTACCTTCAAGATTATTAAGTAGATGCACATATTTCTCCAATTTTTCTAAAGTCTTTCTAAGACACTTTACAGAAGAGGATATAAGAATGTCCACACATTTTTCAAGAATAGCCAGCAATTCATCCTTGGCCAACATCCTAAAAAAATAAAGAAACCAAGAATATGAAGAATTTACTATAGAAAAAAGGTATAGTGAAACAAGTGTAGACAAATGTACAACAAAAAACTGAGCTTGATGACTGGTGACTGCACAACATAAGCATAACATGGTCTTAGCAACAGGGAAATAATCAGTCATCTCCTTCCTGCTTCAAGGACCCTCTACAAGGATGCAAATGTCCAGCTGTCTGCAAGGAATATAAATCCTTCCACTCCCCACTATCCTGTCAGAACTGAAGAAGCTTCTTGAATGAGAAGCGAAACATCTTCAAAAGAAAAAAAATAAGAAAGTCCAGTTGCCTCCGGAAAAAAAGCACCTTTGGGACAACCTGGATGTCTGAGAATCTCTACAGACTTGAATCTTCTTCCATGTTTTTTTTTTCAACTTCCCGATATAGGCTACATTCCTGGAATTTCCTAATTGTATCCAATTCAAATAGTAAGCAAATCTAACCTTGCTTAGCATTTCAAGATCAGCCTAGACTAGGTGCTGCTATCTAACAAATGTACAATACAAGACAGTGTACAATGTACACAAAAATTTGATAAATCCTAATAAAATACTATAAAGACTAGGCAAAAAGCAGGTCAACTTTTTAACAAATGCAGTGTCAACACAAAATTTGGCTTTGTATAAAAGTATTCCTGGATCCAAGCCACAGTATTTCAGACCTTCTTAGTTATACTCGAATGAAATCTCTACTTAATTACACTTCTAGATAATCTTTATAAAAGTATATTGGGCAAAAAAAAAAGTCTGTGTCCACAGGATTATGCTATAATTAGCATAATCCAAAATGAAAAGAAAAATAATTGGAGAGGGAGGGAAGAAACATTACCCAAATTCCATAACCAATTCCTGAAATCATATTTGCCTATCCCATCCGTCCGTCCATTCAATTTACCGTATTTTTGGAGTATAAGATGCACCTTTTTTCCTCAAAAAAGCGGCTGAAAATCTGGGTGCGTTTTATACACCAAATACAGCATTTTTTGCCTTCCGAAGCCCTACCCCTTCACTAAAATGGCTGTGCATACCCTTATGGAGGCTTTCAGAGAGCTCCTGGGGGCTGGAGAGGGCAGAAATGAGCAAACAACGGGCCACTTTTTGCTCAATTTTGCCCCCTTGCGATTTTTTTTGACAAAAAATGGCCCATTTTTTGCTTGTTTTTGCCCTTCCAGGAGCACTCTGCAAGCTCCCCCAAGGCTCTGCATGCCTTTAAAAAAACGGGCCCATTTTCATGAAAAATGGGCCGTTTTTGGGAGGTTTGCAGAGTGCAAAAACTTTTTCCCCACCTTTCAGAAAGCTCTTTAACTGATTGATGAAAATTACATTGATCAAGTGCTCTGCCTGCAGAAACAAAATCTTAGGTGCTGCAGATTGTCAGAAATTTCCTTCTCCAGCACATGGATAAATACACCTGGAAACATCTACCTACCTACTCTCTCTCTCTACCTATCTACTGCATTTCTCTCTCTCTCTCTCTCTCCCCCTCTCTCTTTCTCTACCTAACTACTGTATTTCTCTCTCTCTATTTTTTCTCTCTCTCTATCCCTTTATGTACCTTCCTACCTAACTACTCTCTTTCTCTCCCTACCTACCTATTCTATTTCTCTCTCTTTCTCTCCCTCTCTAACCCTCTATCTATCTACTTTTTTAAAATTTGCCTCTTCAAAACCCCGGTGCATTTTATACTCCAAAAAACACCTTACACAGTCACCCTTCTGACAAGTGTGACTCTCAACTCAGCATTACCATGCCTTCTTGTCTTTGAGACCACACAAATTAACACATCTCAGTATTAGTTATAGAAATAAAGTCTAATAGGGTGGAACATATTTCTTGACTTATATACAGACATGTGCAACAGGACAGCCTGAGTGGTATATCGTTAGTGTATTAGGCCTGGATCATGATGATTCAGGTTTAAATTTCTGTATTTTTATTTTAATCACTGGATTAACTAAATTCAAAGAGTTGTTCCATTGAGTCCTTGGAGAAAAGGCTGAAGGATAAAAAAGGAAGCAGACCCATGAGCTGAATAGTTTCATCCAAAGATCAAACAGTCTGAGGGGGGGGGGGGAATAGGATTTGGCTGTGCAATCCAGCTGGCAGTCCCACTAACAAAGGACATTAAACACTTATTTTATATTAAAAAAAATATGATCAGTTGCCAAAAAAAGAAAGACACAACAACAACAACAAAAACCCAAACCGCTACTCCTCTGGCAACACATTTCTAACCCCAAGTTCTTTTAAATAGCTAATGGAGACTTTACTATGTCTTGAACACAGAAAAGAAATGGAAAGAGAGCTACCTCACCAGCTGCATGGCAGACTCATATTCCTCTCTTTCCCATATGCTTTTTTCCAAACATGCACAATACAGCTCTCTGATCTGTAATGCAGGAAATGTTTTGTAAATATTAAATTAATGAAATGTTCATTTTTACCAATTTGTTACTTACAATAAAAGCTTTATAAATGATAAGGCTTCACTGATCTCCTACACTATCCAGGAATGTTAGTTCAATAATAATAAAGAAAGTACATACAATTAATGTGGACAGATTCACACTGTAAAAACAAACTGCTTTCACTGCTTTACAATAAATGTATTTTTTTATTATCTCTTTCCCACCCTAAGGTACATTTTTCAGTATTTGCTTCTCAGAAGAAGCCGAGACAATTTGACTAAACCTAATTATTTCAATGTCAAAAGAGCTATAAAATACTTTCAAGGCCCTTTTCTCTTTGAATATATTGAGTGGCCTGGCAGTTAAAAAGAGTTAGTGTTGTTTTATCTTACTGCACTGCAGGCAAAATAAAGAAAAAGCAGCAGGACTGCAAACCAAATTCAAGATTTCGAAATATTAGACATAAAATAAAGAGCACATACTTGTTTGCCTAATGGATACTTTGGAAGAGAAGACGTGAAAGCATGAAGACACCGCAAAATTGGGAAATAATTTTCATGGTAACTATAGAGATTTTTTAGCAATGCTTGTACTGTTTCCTAAAAATTATAAAAGAAAGTATCTGATTAGTCATTTACTCATTACAAATCTATTTTACAAATTGCATTGCTATTCTATACTCTACCCAACTCAATTAAATTGAATGGGATTTATTCACAGATACATGAGCAAGCAGATGGCACTCCACTCTGCCAGACAGAATCTGGAGCATGTCTCCTGCTGGATCTCATAGGATGGATACAAACAATTACGGAGAGACAATCAACTATCAGCAACTCTTTAAATCAGTTGTGCCTTTTGGGAGGGATCATAACACTGTCCTTTACCGCTACAACAGAATTCCAGGAAAACATGTGTTTATTTGAAGGAGATGCTTCCATACAGCAAGGGAGCCCTTTCTCATTAAATCTATAATCTAGTGGTGTCAAACTCGCAGCCTGTGGGCCGGATATGTGACATGCTGGCCATGCCATTGCCTGGTTTAGTGAAGGTGGGGAAGGGGGGAATATGTCATGTGGCAATGCCATGACAACACAAGTTTGACACCCCCTGCTATAGTCCAACTAATTATGAACCTTGGATATCAGTGATACAACAACATAAGGACTGGTTGTCTGAGGTACCGCCTCTCTCCCATTTCTGCCAGCCTGGTATGGGGGTGCATTCCAGGTCCCATTTATTAAATGTTGCCATCTTGTGGGACCAAGAAAGAGAGACTTCTCTGTTGTGTCCCACTCACTCTGGAACAGCATCTCCCCTCAAGGAATCAGGATGGACACCACTCCCCTGGAGTTCTTGGAAGCCTTTAAAACTTGGTTCTTAAACTCAGGGTTATGCTGTTTGGAGTTGACCCTGGCATGTCATGTGACTGGGGTAAGTTCAGGCTGTCTTGCCTTGTCCATGTTGTTTTAACTTTGTATTAGACTTTGTAATCTACCCAGAGTATATTGGAGTGAACAGCCATAACAAGTTGAAATACATGGATAAACTCTTAAACCTCCTAGGTGCTGTTTTTAACATTCAAAGCATCTGACTTAAAAATAAGACCTGGTTTATAAATAAGTCATTTTAATTGAAAAACATTTTATTAAATACAACTAAGGTGAACCAAGGGCCCTCAATTCGTACTTGCTACACAAGTAGTAGAAGTTGATTTATTTAGGGTTCTATGATGCATTTTTCTTTGGAAATTGAGACAAAGAGGTTTTCTTTTTGTCACAAGTGAAAACTTAGGAGAGCTATAAAGAAAATAAGAGAGAAAAGGGGGATGAGATTAGCAATAAAAATTTGAAAGTCAGTTGACTAATTAGTATACCTATCCTTTCTCAAAGCCTGTACAAAAAAAATTGCAGTGAATGATCCTCAAACCTCTAACAACTAATTTGAATTATTCTACTTGAAAAAAATCCCAAATTATTTTAGTGACTCCACTGCTAATGGAATTATAAGAAAATATTCAATTTACATTAACAATATCTTGTTGTAATTTCATTGAGTTTAACGATGCATTTAATTTCATTTTAAAGTACCAGAGAAAAAATTGTATCTCTGGTATCCTAGTAAGCTGAAAGATAAGCATTTTTTTCCCAGGAAGAGTGGGTGTGCTAGTTGTTTTTTTTTTCAATAAATGAAAAATATTCGCAAAATGTGCAGAATCAAGTCTTAAATGTCTTGCAGTTTATAGGGAATATTAATTACAATAATCTTTGGAAAAACCAGAAGACTCAGTGTTATAATAAAATAGAACAATAAAAAGTACAATAATTCACAGAAGAGACAAATGTTTGGTAAAAGCTAGACATCTGTTTGTTCCAGGAGATAGAAACATATATTGTTCTATCCCATATATTTCATTTGACTACAGATTTAAGGAGAAAATCCATCTGTACATCAGTTTCGTGAAATTTAGTGAAGAAATCCAACAGATCATTTTGTTCTATGATGAACTGCTAAAGCTGAACTGCTGTGTTTCATTTTTTGGGAGGGAGGATAGGAGTTTTTATTATTATTAAACTCAACTGTTGTATTAAAACTGAATTAAATTAGACAATTTCAAGAGAAGGAAGATTTAACACTGTTTTGGGAAAGCTTTATTTAACAGATTTTTTTCTATCTAATAGAATAATGTAGCATTAAAACACCAGTGCTTTTACTGCTTTATTGTTGTTGGTTTCTCCACAGGTGAATAATTTTTCTAGATAATTTATGAACGGAAGCCTTTACAAAACAAGAACTCTTTTCCCCCAGAAACAATGCTTTGTTTTTATGAAAAAAGAGCACAATCTTTATGCATATTAAACCTAAAGCTGTGAGAACATTTTTCATCATGAAGTATGATTTTTTGTTGTTGTTATTTGGCTTTATAACTTTTTTTGTCTGCTCAAATACAGACATATCACAGAGAGATGTATTTGTAAATGGATTTTACTAGCTGTTATCAATTCATCATTCAATAGTCTCTTTTACTTCATTAATTATTCAAAACCCATCTCATCATTATATATTTTCCATGTTTGAACATTTAGCTTCAGAAAATTCAGCAGGACTTGCTTCTAAATAAACATGCTGAGTAGTTGGCTGCAAATATACAATGATTTTCTTTAAGCAACAAATAGGTTCCACTAATTGAATCCACCTGTAACACAACATTCCAAGTTTTGGCATGACAATTATCAATAAGGCTTCCGTTTACACATTCCTCTCTCTTCCTCATACATCCCAATTCATTCAGGTCCTTCTTCCTTAGTGCAAAACAATTGGCTGTCATCACATCTAACCAGCAAGCCAATTTGTCCCTAAGTCCTGTGACAGCAATATGCAAGAATAAAGAAGAGCAAAGATCATGCAGTTTGGCACTGCAACTCAGTGAAGTACATTTAGATTTATCTTTACTTCACTATTATTTTAATGACAGTAGGTGACTCAGTGACTAGGATCGCATAGGAAAGCCATGATTTAGTTAACTGTACCTTATGAATTGCTATTGACTGGGCTTATATTACATGGTAAATCATGGTTTACAAATCATAATGGTTGGGTTCACATATCGCAATAAGACATAAACAAGCAAACCTATATTGTGGCTTAGCATGATGAGTAACCTAATCAGGACATATGCATCATGCTAAATGTATTTTCTTTTACAGTGGTTGCTAAACAAGCTTTAAAGCTTGGGGTCATACATAATACTGAACTAAGCCAAAACCAAAACAATCCATGTTTGGGTTAGCATGAGTTATGAAGCAGCTAGCATAGATTACAATTTTAGATCAAAGCACCATGTTTATCTTACATTGCTGTTAACTAACTTAATAAAGAATAAAAAGATACACACATATTGAATAATGCAGGGACATTGCAGAAATGAATTTTTATGACCCATCATTCACAGTGGCTGTTTTCAGCTATTTAAAATATGGATTTTAAACAGCTTCTTCAGTAGTGGCTGCCTCTGAAGACCTGATATAAAGTCAATTTATGTTTTTGCCTTTTGATGTTCCTGTATCCCAGCCTCTCTTTGAATCTCATGTTAATTTATTTCTCTAGCTGTTACTGAAATATGTCCCCTGTTTTAGAATAATTATCATAGCAAGTAAATTATAGTAGTCAGCTTATGCTCACCAACCTGCTGTTCGGTTTTTAAATTTTAAAGAACACAGCATGTGAAATCTTTTCATTTTTCACAGTTAAAATTAAGAGGAAAGCAGAATGCAGCATTCAGTTACCAGCTCCCGAATCCGTACAATATCCTTGCACATTTTCCTTAAGTCTCAAAATCACAAATGGGGAAATTCTTCTCTTTGGATATGTTGAATTTCCCATTAGCCCTGGCATGGGCAATAAGTGGCAAAAGATGAAGTTAGGGTTCATTATGTCAGGAGGTTTGCTGATAAGTATTCTAGGTTTCTCTTTTCAGTCCTTCATCAAAGGAAATTACCCGTTTGTTTTAGAATTCTTCTCTACAAGGTGCTTTTCCAGAAAGCATAACAAACATTTAAAGCGGTCATCACAGTAGCATATTTTCCTTATTTTTTCTTTTAATATATACATTTTTGGAAGTATGTTTTTCTTTTTTTTAGACTAGACTGAAAGGTACTTATTCCTAATGACTAAAATTATGTAATGGCTACATAGTATCTCTGTAATAAAAATACAATTTTGTAATGTATCATTTTCCATGTTATAGGAATTCTGAGTGGCAAACCTGATTCTTCTACTTAATTCTCACAATGGAGCAGATCTGGAAGATGTGAGGAGTGATGTGAGGGCACACTTATATAAATCAAATTTTGGATCTTATACAGAAGAAATAAGAAACACTAGATTTTTTTTTAGTACTAGGTTTTACCTTTAAACATTCGTCATCTGTCAGCAATGCAGCCTGCTTCTCTACTTCCTGGCTTTCAACAAACCTGAACAGAGGAAAAGAAAAAGCTAATTTCAAACCTCGTAATTAACAAGAGGTTAATTTCCAAATCCTTAATAATAATTCCAATCTGAATCATACAATGAGGAAGGGGTTTAGAAGGGGCCCAGGAAACATGCCTCTCTGTTGTGGCACTTGTCCTATATAATAACCAGCTCTGAGATCCAGATGGCCTTCCAGAGGCTCATGAAGACATGGTTTTTCCCTTTAAGCATTAAGAGCTGGATGTTGGCAAAGCTGAATGTGTCTTTTTGTGTATTGATTATTGTGATTATTATTGTGATTACACCTTAGTTATTGTATTATTAATGTTTTTAATGCTATAGTTTGTCTTGGTTTATGTTTTATAATGTTTTTACATATACAGTATTTTCTTGGTTGACCAGAATTATTCATTTAAGATGGGTGGTCATATATATTTATCAATAAATTAATAAAATAATATTAAGATAATATGCATTTGCACATATGTGCAATTTAGGACATTCATTTCCCTATATCATTCACCTCAAATTGGAATAGTTTATTTTTTCTTAAATCAAAAAGATTTAAGAAATGGCAAAAAATATATATGCAATGACAAGAAGTTGAGCTAATTATGTACCTTCTAAAAGATGGCAACCTTCGAATATTTTCAAACTGCTTATGTGATAAAAGTTGTACTCTTTTCTCAGATTCTTGCACTTCGCAACATAGCACACTGAGAGGGTGTGAATAAAAATGCTCCAGCAGAGACAGCTGTAAGAACAAGGAAGTCGAAATGTAAAGTGAAAATTTGGAAGAACACTGATCAAAAAAATTCAAATATTATTATAACTTTTAGAAAAATAAATCCATTCTCCTGAACTGTTATTCTAAAGCTGAAACAATATGCATTTTAATATAGCTGTAAATCAAGGCAGCAGATAAACATGGCTTGCCTCCAAAAGTTGTGAGTGCTTCAACACTGGAGGTTTTTAAGAAGAGATTGGACAACCATTTGTATGAAATGGTATAGCATTTCCTGCTTGAGCAGGGATTGGACTAGAAGACCTCCAAGTCCTTTCAGTAACTCTATGTTATAATATAACATAATAAACTGATTTAAAATTGTATGTAAAATTCTAACCCCATAACATGTAACTTAACTTACTCTGGACATATTTATTCTTTTTTATAGCAGCTCTAATTCTGTAGCAATTTGTTCTTTAATACAGTGCCCTAATATGTAGGTACATTATATGCAACGTTAGGTTTACGGTCTAATAAGAGGAAAACAAGATAAAACCTATCTAATCATCTTGGCAAATATTCAAATACGCAACAGATGAGAGAATGACAAAGTGAGGAAAGAAATTTCCAAGTATCACCTGATGCCCATATTCATCCAACTGAAAAATTCTGCTGTATCAAAACTTTTCTGCTAATGGAAATTTGTGCCGGACCCAATCTTTAAACTGACTGGTAGGCCTCGAGTTAGAAAGGCAAGTGGAACTGGAATTTCCATAATCAAGTGATGAGGTTGTAAAGCTTGTCAGCCTGAAGAAAAGCCTTTCCTTCTCTTATTTGATTCTTATTTGCCTAATCGCAGAGTAGGCTGCTGCAATGTTCAGTCTCCCCTGCCATCTATTTCTGTATTTTCTTTCTTCTAATAAAATCCAGAGCTGACATACCTTTGGCATTTTTGTGAGACAAAGGCTCCATTGTCCCATGTCCCTGAAACAGCAATGCAGTCCTTTGCCTCTGATCTACCTTCCCAGTGCCCAAAGTTAAAAATCTGAACTCTTCCACATCAGTGGTGTGATTCAAAATATTTTACTATCGGTTCTGTGGGCATATCGTTGCTTGATGGGTGCATCATGGCTTGGCGGGCTTGGCAGGGGAAGGACACTATAAAATCTCCATTCCCTCCCCACTCCAGGGGAAGGACACTGTAAAATCTCCATTCCCTCCCCACTCCAGGGGAAGGATACTGCAAAATCTCCATTCCCTCCCCACTCCAGGCTAACAAAATCTTCCATACCCGGAGCCATGATGATACAGTGTTTAGAGTGCAGTATTGCAGACTACTTGTGCTGATTGCAATCTGCCTTGCAATGTGCCAGTTTAAAGCTCACCAGGCTCAAGGTTGACTCAGCCTTCCATCCTTCTGAGGTGGGTAGAATGAAGATTCAAATTGTTGGGGGCAATATGCTGCAATCCTCTTAGAGAGGGCTGTAAAGCGGTATATAAGTCTAGGTGCTATTGCTAAAATGATAGTCTAAGCCAGCGGCCACCAGGAACCAAAGAGAGAGAGATTCTTCCATGGACCAGACGGTCCATGGACCCTCATTAGCTGCCAGCATCCCACAGATGAGGCTCCGCTTGTTTGTACGGACCAGTTTCTAGCATGCTGTGAAGCAGTGCCGTTCCATGGACTAGGGGGTTGAGAATCACACCTGTCACCCTGATTCCTAAAACACAATTTAACACTTTCCCAACTGTTTGTAAACAGGGACAACATTCCTATGACTGAATATGCAGAAAAATATCTAAAGATTAAAAACTGGCTGTTACTGAGATTAAAAACTGGCTGTCACATATACTGTTGCCTTTCATATTACTTTTTAATGTGTAGGGAAATTTCTTGTGTGCAGGAATATTCAGTAAATCTCTCACTCATACACAGTATCATCATTCATAGTGAAAATTAGACACAAAGTTTACCATCACTCAGCTTTCTAAAGTTAGTCAGCTACTTTCACTAACCCTTACCTGAAATCCTTTGACAAAATTATGGACGGAGAAGTCATGGTACAAAAATATGTTTGTCAGCACATGCAGAACCTTCTCACTAATTTTGAATGGGAATTGACTCGTCAGAAGTAGCTGATGTAGAAAAAAAATAGACATTAATAAATTATGAATTATAATTATAAATTATCTGAAATAAGATGACTAATTATTTCCACAGTTAGGATTCTCTAAATCATGGAGTTTCTTAATGGGAAACCCCATAATGGCAAAAGTTCTTTTAAATTCAACAGTATTAGTACTTTTGTATGAACTAATCAACTGATTTTTTTTAAAGAACAGAGAATAAGATTGAGAAAATGGAGGTCTAGTTGGCTTGATAAAATTAAAACCCAAGTTTGGGCACCCTGTATTGTTTCAGAATATACTTTAATGCATAGCAGTTCAAAAGCAAGTAAAAAGTGCAGAAAGTATTTTCTTAAGGGCAAAAAAACTGATTTTGAAATGGAAGAACATAGTATAATAGACTTTTAAGATGAAAATAATTGTAACTGAAATGGTCTGATTTAAACACTATATAAATACCATGAATACCATTAAATCAAAATTCTGTGTTAAATTTCCTTTTTTAAAATAGACAAATATTTATAAAAATTACATGCCCCTTTCTCTTCATTACATAATTTGATGGAGTAATTAACAACTATATAATGATACTTTCTCTACACATTTTATATTATGGATCCAGTAAATACTGCCAGGAAATCACTGGAATCTATACATTAGCCAATCTCAGACTGTTACCTATGTACTGAATATATTTTAATTTGATAAACCTAAAATCCACTATCTGGCAAATAGACACTTGTGTAATAGCTCTCCTGCTCACATCTCCAAAATTTGCTCCAGGGCCAACAAGAAGAAAAAAAAGATCACCCACATGTTCAGCTCTGCTAGTGGAATTAATTATTGTACTGAACATAGACATAGAATTATGATCTGAAATCTACAGTGGCAATTGTTATAAAAAATATAGTACAGGTAATCCTTGCTGAAATGACTGTTCTTTTTGCATCCATTCAAAGATATGACAGAGCTCCCCCAAGCTACCTATGATCTGATTTTGAAGTTAAAGTGTCTGCAATTTCACGCACACACACACCCAGTCAAATAATCACATTTTGGGCACTTGGCAACCAGCTTACATTTATGGCTGTTTAGAGGGTCTCGTTGCATTTTGGGGGGGACTTTTGCCAATTTCGGGCATTTACTTCTGTTTTCTAGCAAAAAAACCTCCCATTGGATAAAATAGGTTCACTTAAAAACCATGGTGTTTGGTTAACAATTATAGCATTCGCTTAATGACCGCTGCAAAAAAGTTAGTACAATTGGTTATGGCCTGTTTAATAACTGCCACAAGTTTCAATAATTCCGGGCTCAATTACAACAATAGGTTGAGGAGAACATGTACAACTCCTCAAGAAAACCGACTTTTTAAAACATTTTTTTAACAATGAACAGCTATGAACATTTTAGTTTTTATCAAGAATTTGCAGAATATACACCATCTTCTTTTCTTAAAACATTACCTTATCAATCACTTTAGTTAAATGTTCTTTGGAAGAAAGAGACTGGAAAAGTTCTATACATAACAAAGAGGACACTGTGTGAGGAAGCAGCTTATGGATGATCATCGGAGATGTAGCAATTCCAAAAATAAGGACCAGTGGAAATTCACGTATACAATGACTAAGGGAAAAATTAACAATTGGGAAAAATTAAAATGTGTATAAGATAATCAGCTGGCATTTGACTTCATCCATATATTTCAAGTTCACAGAATTTATCAACAATGTTGTACTAATACAAACAACCACTTTGATTCCAAAAACTAAAAAAAAGAAACTTGCACTTTATATGTAATCATTCCATTTTCCTGATCATTATATATTAAGTGATTTATTAATGTGATCTATACAAAATAGAAATGCAGTCTGTAAAATCCCATGCAGTCCCAGTCAGAAATCAGAAAACAGAAGCTTTAAAGTCCCCAGTTGGTTATCATACTATACAAACTAGCTGTGTCTAGTCTGAAATCTCATCTAGTTGAATTGCACATTTGAATAGAAAGATTTAATGTAATTTATAAAACAGGAGACTGAATGCCTTGACCAGTATATAAATCACATCATCTCCATGTCTGCTAATTTTAATAATTTGTCCAGTGTCAGGGTTCCAAGTAATAATTCCATATCAAGCAAAACTCCAAGGCAGGAATCTAAGAATAGCTTTATTGGAAATATATTGACACAGATCTAGTGAAAACCATCTCTGAAGACTTCTGACATTTTCACCTAATTAAAAGTAAGTTTTCCCACTTTCCCAAAACAATCAGTCACATGGTCCAATTACGGTGTGTTCTGGCTGCCAGGTGACATCACTCCACCTTCCTCTGACCAGGTGTGAGAATGTCCTTGGTTCCCAAGAGAAAATATTTTGTTTTGGCTACAGAATCCCAACTATCTCAAATCCCCACTCCTTATCCCTCAGCTCCAGTGTGGCAACACTGAAGCTGTCAAAAATGGTTTTGGTCAGGTGAGCCTCAGAATAGGCATCCAACTTCCGCTGTTCTGAAGAGTAACAATACTCTGCAACACACAGTAATTTTTTGGCTTGTGAGATTTTAACTGATGATGCCTGGATATATTCAAGAATGTATTTATTGCTGTAAGATGACAAATGGCATGCCTAGTACCTATTTTTGTACTGCTGTGGAATCATGATATGATAAGCAAGAGTCTAATCAAAATTACAAAATTCTGAATTTCATTCTTTATTAATGTTGAGCAAATTTGTCTCTGGATTAAATTTGCTCACAGGCCAGCTAATAAATATTTGCAAACCTACTGATTGAATTGTAAAAAAAATAATCCAAGAATGTAAATTTCATACGCAAAGCTAATTCACTCCAGTCAACATCTGTACTTAGTACAAACAATAAAGAAAAAGCAAACATGAATCCAATTAGTAATTTATTTCCTGTAAGAAAATGAACATGGACCAGAATATCTTCAATTTCTGTTTTGTTATTATTACCTGCTCATAATTATGAAATCCTGCAAAACTTTGGTTGTGAAACTTTCCATATCCTTGAAAATAATAACAACTGGAGGAGTTTCCCAGTGTCTGGATGAAAATGTTCTCTTCTTACATGGAGATTCAGTATCCGTTTTCTGCAAATCATATTGCATATATTAAAACAATGAATTGGGAGGAAAAAATACAGTCTCTTAGACCATGATCTAAAACTGTGTAATCCAAAAGGGTACCACCACATTATCTAACTGTTAGATTCTAACATAAAAGAAAATAAAGGAGTGATATAAATGTAGTAAGTAAATAAAAAACAGCAAAATAACACATCCCATTTTCCTGAAATATTTATTTATTAAAATATGTTTAACTCCCATTCCATTTTAGCAGTAAAAATATTAGATATTAGAGGTGGACAATAAGGTAAATAAACAAGAGAGTGCCATGCAAGACTAAAATATACACTATAGTATCCAAAAACATTGTTCTCCAGGCATGTCTTCCAATGATGGATGACACCAACTCAAAATGTTTATATTTGGCTTACCTACTGAGAACAATAGATGAAACATAAAGTTAAAAAAAAAACAGCATAAAAATCCAAAAGGAAAAAAGCAATGTTTTTGTGTTTACAATTTACACATTGCTAGAATATATAAAAGCAAAAATATTGCTATCTCTCATCATATATTTATTTTCTTGGTATCCTATGATTGGCAGCTGAAAGTAGTAAACATTACACTGCCTCTATTTTTCTTCATAATAATCCTATAAATTAGTTTAGACTAACACTGATTTATGAAGAAAGACTGAAAAAAGCTGGGTTCAGTCTTAGAAGACTAACCGAGAGGGATACCAGAAAATATGATCATTTCTATTATTCGAATAATAGAAATAATCTCTCCCAGAAAAAAAATCAGTATCTCTGGTCCAATATTGCAGAATGCGGAATAAAGTCTTAAATAACTGATGAATCTGCTTCTAGTAATAAGAAAGTGAAACAAATTATTCACACAGGTTGTAACTTCCCATTTACTGAAGCATCTGTTGGCCATGTTTTAATTTGGATTCATGTACTGAAAATGTGGTTGGACTTGATTTCCTAAATAATCTCTTCAAAATTTGTAACTCTAGGATGCAAAATATCTATGACAGAAAAAAGTAATAAATACCATGATACATGTTTCCTATAATAATTGGGTTTATGCATCATTAATAAACCATTCCAAATAAGTATTATTTCTAAGATTTACAAGGAATATAGGAGACGTATATAAAAAGTTTCTATCAAAAATACTATTTTTCTCTTTCTACATCTTAGTAGTCCATTTTTTTAAAAAAGCTATGTAATCACTTTGACACAGTACACAAGTTATGGGATGCCTACAAAATTTTGAAAAGAATAAGCACTATGTAAACTAATAATTTTGAAGCTTACTTTGATTACGTTCTTATACCAATCGATAAGCGATGCTACAGAGCAGCGTACCCGTCTGGGCAAATCCTTGGCACATTCTTCTTCCTCAGATGAATCCACCTCTGTATCACAACCCATGAGCTGTATAATCAGCTTTTGTAGCAGCTGCTTTATGCCTTCCCAATTCAAAAAAATTAAAGAAAGGAAAAAAAATAGAATTATATTTTTCCAGTTCTTTTCCCATAACTGATTGTTGTTTAATTTGGGATCCTCCAACATAAATAAATGCAAATTCTACATCAAATCAACTGAAAACATTATATGAAAAGGAAACCTAATTATACAATCTAAATCATTCATAGGAAGCAAATTTGTACACTGACTTTATTTTACTTAATTTACAGCAACATCAAGGGGATGTTGGTTGCTGAAAGGCATTATTTCTGTGTCCCTCCTCAGTTCAGAAGTAGTTTTTCTTCTTGAGATCTGAAGAGTGCACACCCAAACAGTTTTCTAGAAGTACCTACCATGTTGCTGAAATTATTATGGTAAAAGTCTCCCCAATATATTACAATGTTTACCTGGACATTCTTTGGCCTTCAGTGACACCACAAAAGGAGTAATATCATCTCGAAGAACCTCAGACAGACTTTTAATTGTTAGTTCATGGTCTGTAACATTCACACCTAGGAGAAAAGAGTAGCAAAAACTATATCATTCCTCTTTATGATAGCTAAAGCCAATAGAGAAAACTGCAAACTCAATTTACAATTCAAAACAAATACAAACACATCCAATATCAGTGAAGGTGTTAGAACACAATGTAATTTTAATTGCAGAGCCATTTTCAGGAGGAAATAAAAAGAGATGCTTAGGTTCTACTAACATTTGTGGGAAAATGCTAAAATTAAGATTGATGTGCAAGGCCACTGGGCAATAGAAAGTTACTATACTCAGAACTGGCAGTAGGAGAACTAGGCCTTTCTCACAAAGATGAATTTCATAAGGGATTTTTTAAAATTAGTCACAATTGCAATTTCCATTTGATAATAAAAGGTCACATAAAATGATATCCCTCATAAATTATAATCAGAAGTCAACTTTCATAAAAAAAATTCAGAGACATATAGACTAATCACTGTAAGTGCTAAAGTAATCTAACACTTAAGGAAGTAAAAATATACAGTAAATCAGTTGAATGTCTAATTTAAAAAGAGCTGCATTTTATGGAAATTAGGTTTGTCCAGCTAGATCAGGTAGGAGATAAAGACGGTTGTAGTTCCCTGAACGGTCGTTCTCGGCACACTGTGTGAGAATCCAAGGAATGGTTGATTTCGGCCTGCTTGCCTCGAGACTAAATTGAATGAAACTCGGCCATGCCTCCTTTTGCACTCGGCTGATCAATTTTTTCAATGAAAGGAATGGCTGTTTCGAGAAGAAAGCACCTGAAAATCCACTAACCTCAAAACCTCCCAGCCCCAAAGACCCTGGAACGAATCGCAAAGAGTGGGATTGGATTCTCATGCAGCGCACCGAGAACAACCGTTCAGGGAACTACAACAGTCTTTCTCCAGTGTGCTGCTTAGAGAATCTAAGGAATGGGATATGCCTAAGCATACTACCTTAAGGATGGGTAGAAGTCCGGTCCAGGGAACCCGAATCTGAGTGAACCGAGTGAACCGCTTGCAGTCCCCACATAACAGCCGAAGCATAGACGTCTAGTTTGTAATGCTTGATGAAGAGCGACGGAGATGACCACTTCGCCGCCGTACAAATTTCCTCAACCGATGCTTGTGTGGCCCAGGCTGTAGTTGTGGCCGCATTGCATGTTGAGTGAGCCGTGATGCAATGCAGTGGCGGGCACCCCTGTACCTCATACGCCTTGGCGATACAGGCTTTCAGCCATCTTCCAATGGTGGTGGATGATACCCTCTGATCCATAAAGCTGGGAAGAAAGGCAACAAACAGGGCCTCTGACTGCCAGAACGATGCAATATGTT